TGCTGAGAAGAACCTACCGATCAAAGCCACTGTAACAAGAGGATATAAATTCTTTCACGAAGAATATATTCACGATATTGAAGGTGAGCCTCGTTGACCTCGTGGTAGCTTTCTTTGTTTGACTGTCTTTCCAATATTTTGTTTCTGTGCTCAGTGTTTTGAGTTTTAACTCTTTTTTCTCGGTTTTTAACAGTAAAACTTTGCAAGGAAGAGGATTCAGGAGTAGTGGCTCGGGCTAAATGCTTCAGAAGTATGAAAAAGAACGAAGATCCTCACAAGTTGTCTGTTGTGTTCGAGAGCTCCTCTATTGAGGCTAGCATCAACAAGTATATGTGTAGTTGTGCTGCTGGACAAGGTCTTTGCCATCATGTTCTTGGATTGCTCTATACTCTTGCCCATTTCCAGCTATTAGGCTTAAAAAGTGTCCCGCCAATGGTTTCTAAAACATCAAAGGCACAGGTAAAATTTAATAATAATAATAATAGATTTGATGATAAACAATAAGAAAAAACAGTCATTAATGTATAGAGATTTGACTGTATCTTACCAATATTTTTCCTTAAAAACTCCTTTTAATCACACTGCTGTTTTTAAACATAACACAATAAGCAATTTTGAATTCATATAGTATATTTGTATATTATTTTTTTGCAGAGATGGCATATCCCCAGTCGTAAAGAGGGCATTAAAGCAAGGCCAGTGACAGATTTGATTATACAAAAGTCAAAGCCAAAAGATAAATTGCATGAACCTAAAAAGAAGAGAAAGGTGTGTGGTGTGGCAAGCACGATCTACAAACCCTTCCAGCAATCATTAAGTAGCCTTGACTTGACTAGTGTGCTGTCGCCACAGTTTGAAAATCTCAACAATCAACCTGGATTTATGAGAATATGGGAAGATGAACAAAGTGAGCCTCCAATTTTAGTAGACTCGGCCTTTGGAAAGGTGCCAAAAGGCTGTGTCATAAGCTATCAACAGCCATTGAAAGTTAAGAGCAATATTAACATACAGCTACCTGCATTCAACTTTCCATCTTTAAGCTATCCAGATACAGTGCTCAATGAAAAACAAGACCTTTTCTTCAGCTCCCTTGCAATATCAGGTCAACAGTCTATTGACTTTGAAATGGAGACAAGGGAACAGTCAACTACAACAGCATGGCATGAACTAAGGAAGTTTAGGCTTACAGCTTCAAATTTCAAAGATATATGCTCAAGAAGAAAAGACCATGAAATCCTTTCTACGCGTTTACTAAAGGGAAAAGTAATCCAAACTGCAGCCATGAAATATGGGATACAAAATGAGGGGGTAGCTGCTGATATGTACAAAACACAGTTTGGCAGAGACACTCACCTAGTAGGTTTTCTTATAAACCCATGTCTCCCACACCTAGGCTGTAGCCCAGACAGAAGAGTGTTTGACGACACTGAACAACATCCATGGGGCCTGATAGAAATAAAGTGCTCTCCAGCAAGTCATCTGGATAACCTTCAGTATTTAAAGTTTAATGAACGAAATGGGTCATATTCATTGAAGAAGACACACAAGTATTATTATCAAGTTATGGGATGCCTTGGTTTAACAGGAAGTCAGTGGTGCGATTTCTTTGTTTACTGCAAGGACGAATTTCACTGTGAACGAGTATATTTTGATGAACTTCTCTTTTCTGAAATGCTGGACAAACTGAATTTATTTTTTTTTGATTATCACCTGAATACATGTGTTCAATAATTTATTGTATGTCTCTTATACAAAATAACTTCGTGCCTAAGTAACAAGCTAATTGTGTGTGACAAAGTTTGGTGGGAAGTGGAGTAAAGACATTTGAATCAGCATTCTTAAAATGTTAAAATGTAACAAGTCAAACCTAATTAGACTCAGAACTTGTTCTAGTAATTATCATTACACAGCTGTTTGCAGAAATTATTGCCACAACTTTAAAAACATTGGGTTCATGATTGGTAATTTAATAGTTTTTGTATTTTTTCCAAAAATACAATACTTATGATAATTCAGTTTCATTTAAGCCTATATGTCTGTAATATATTGTAAGCGCCATAATTTTTACAAACAGCTGTACATATTTCATTGTTTATCATGCATTCAAATACTGTGACTAAGTTGGGTGTATTTCAAGCCATTTAATAGTTTTTTACTGTTATTAAACAGAACATTCTGTACAAACATGATAAATAAAAATACATGAATGACTTCAACAGGTTTTGTATTTAAACCCCAAAAGGGCATTTTTATAATATTTGGCAATAATGAAATTTGTGAATAAATGTAAAGTTATTAAATTCATAATTTTTTTTTCCAAACAGCTAGTTTGAAAGCTTGCATTGAATCTGTAAAACAAAAATAGTACTAACAATATAATTTTTACTGATTTTACTGTTTATTTTAATGCCTAACCAATATGCCATGTACATACGAAAAGGGTGCCCCTAGGGGATAGGGCCACCCTACTATTCACCCTTCCACATCACATGTTAACAGATGGCATAGTTCTTACCTAGGTTGGACCTAATACGTAGTGTACCCTCACTCAATGTCAACTAACTCTTAGTTGTTAAAAGTTGTTAGTACTATTTGTATTACAGATCCTTACATACTTTACTTTAAATGATGCTTACTCTTCCATCTATTTTACAACAATTGTATACATATTTAGATATATTGCTTTTCATGCAACAAAGGCCCCTGGAAATTGGTAATAAGACATGCCACTGTCCATATTTGATTAATGCTGCCAGCTACTGTAAGAGGTATAACTTTATCAAAATAGTGAAACTCTTTCACCCTTCTTATGGCCCTTTCCACATGGACTCTTAAATTATGTATCTGTTTACTGGTTGAAAGTTCTTTCTTTGAAAATTGACCCTTACTTGACAAAAAGGCAGGCATTGCTACTCCACAACCTATTGGCTTTAATAGATCCTCTATAGTAAATCCTTTATCAGCCATTATTTGATCACCTGGCTCAAGTAAATTCAACAAACCTGATTGCTTAACAAGCTCCTTGTCAGAAATACTTCCTTCAAAAAGAGAACTTACATGAATAATTTCCCCAGATGGAGATATTACAACATTGCCTTTGTAAGTTGTGTGGCTCTTATATGATGAATAGCAATTGCTATTCAAAACCATACTAGATGGTGCTTGTACCTTGATCTCTGAGGCATCAATAATACCACGGCATTTAGGATATAACAATTTAAAACACTTAGGCATATGTTTGTCAATTTTTGCCCGAGAGGGCCATATAGGAATGGTTCCCAAAACAAAATAGAGAAAGTTAACCCAAGAAATAAAAACTCTACTCACAGTTGAAATAGAAATATCAAATTCACTGGCTAGTTTCTCATTAAAAGTACCCAGCCTCAGCTTAGTAATGCATAAATAAAACTGATCAAATAAGCTAAGTTTGCATGTCTTGAGAGTGTCTCTCATGTTACTTATATCTTTCCCACTTTTTGCTCGTGCTCTCTGTACTTGGGACCATGAAAACATACTTTCAGCTGTGGGTCTAAGGGCATTGAAGGTACTCACAAAAATAGCAAATGACGAAAAGCCAGTATGGAATCTAACGCGTTTGTCTGACATCCCTTTCAGTTGTCTGTAAAAAGATTGTTTTGAAAGCAGCTGTTCTAATTGTTCGATACGAGCTTGCGCTGCCTCAAGTAGCTCTTCTACAGGCTTTTCGGGTTCAGTAAATAAATAATCATGTAGGTTGACAGTAGGTGTTATGATTGTGGTGTCAGTAGTTACGGTGGAGTCCTCCATGTGGCTGCTAGTATCGATGACATTTTCGTCTACGCTTGAATCTTCGATGGGCCCAATTTCGACTGTGGGAATGTAGAAAATAACATGTTTAGAAATATTTAGGGCGGGCCTAAAGTACGATTTCATAAAAAATAAATACCTGTAGAGGAGATTGGCTGTATATTATCCACGACATCAATCTCGGTTGTGTTAGTACGTGTTGTGCATTCGCGTTTCGTTGGTGACTTTCGTTTCTTTGATAAAGTTGTCCATTCAAAAACGGATGGTACAGCACCATTAACGAGTACACTTTTTCCTGTTAGCGTTTTTTTTATATCTGTGGGTTTAAAATGATCAGAGCAAACTCTTGTACTGTTGGTTATCTGAAAGATATCGGAAAAAATATAAGGTTTGCTATATAAACAACGCTGAAACGACGCTAAACTGAACTATGATATATAAAAGGCCATTTACCTTGAAGGACCGGCCGACATCACGCTTAATTTTTATAATCCACTGTCTTCTTAAGTCTTTGTCTTTCGGGAATTGATGAAAGGTTATATTAGACTGCACTTTTGATCTATTGTTATTGCACTTAGGAACACAACAGTGATCTTTGTTCCGCATGATCGCTCGAGTGTTCAGTGTGTCAAGAACCACGCGTGACCTCGTTTTCATGCCAAAAAGCATTACGTCATTTTCAAGATGGCGATACCGTGACAAAGGCGAATGTATGTATGTAACTCGAAACTTCAACATCCCCCAACCCCTCCTGTAATGACATAATCATTTTTATATATCACGTGACCTTATAGGAGCACATGCTTTTGTAGTACCACGTGCTCGACACAGTTCTTCTGATTAAATTTGATTCGAAGATGTTACATTGACGACGAGGATATTAAGGATTCTCCACCGTTTACTCTGTCAAATCAGGAAGGAATTATGGCTACAATTGTGAATTTTGGCAGCAAAATTGAGCATTTCAACATGGATGCTGAGAAGTCAAGTTTAGTGGCAAGATAGCTCAAATGGAAATCGTCCACTAGTTATATGATAAAGGCTAAAGGAATCACAGACCCACAGCAAAAAGAAGATGGGAGGAAACTTCAAAAGGTCTACGAAACTCTCCCAAAACCGCCAGAAAATAAATTACCGGTTGATCCAACTGTTTATGATATTGCTACTTCGCAGGAAACGTAAACCAGCCCTTTGAATGGCATAAATTTCGGTCAATGCATCAAGAATCATCTGAATTGGCCACCCATTTCATGTCCCGATTGAGAAGACAAGCTGATTTCTGTGGTTTAGGCGATACAAGGAATATACAAGTGAGAGATCAACTCATTGAAGTTTGTTTATCATTGAGACTGCAACTAAAGCTTTTGGAAAGAGGTAACGAGTTGTCTTTAGATGTTGCTCTACAAATGGCTAGGTGTAATGAAGCTGTTATTCAACAAGCAAGTGAAATGCAAGCCGATAATGTCAACAAAATTAATGTGAAATCTGCTCATAATTCAAAGATGGCCAGCCAATCACGTGACACTGCTCACCACAGGCAACCCACCAAAACGGAAAAAGACAGAAAATATTGGAAATGCAGAAACGAGGGACACATATCTAAAGATGAATGTTGCCCAGCAAAGAAAGAGAGGTGTAGGAAGTGTGGTCACATCCGACACTTTGCTAAAGTTTGCAGGAGCAAGAGCAAGAACAAGTACCAGACAAAAGTCTTCAGTGTGGTGTATAATGAAAGCCTGGATGACGAAATCTCTGCAATTGAGCTCTCCCCTGAAGACGAGCCGGAAGTGAAGCTTACCATTGGAGGTCAAGAAGTTGACATGTTTATAGACTCTGGAGCTTCTTGCAATGTAATCGACCATCACTATGGGAGCAACTCCAATCGAATGGAATCAAATGTAGAAGCCAGTTGGAAAACAGGTCCATACAGTCTTATGCTACAGCGAGCAAAGTCCAGGTCGAAGCAAAGTTCTGGTCAAAGGTGGAGCTTGGAGAGAAACATTTGTCAGATGTTGAATTTCTGGTGATTTCAAACAAAGGCAGACCCATACCAGGAAGAAAAACAGCAATGCAGCTTGGAGTACTTGCAATCAAAGTACCTGAATCTAAAGTAAATCTCGTAGAGAGTGAGTTCCAGGAACTGTTCAGTGATAAAGTTGGAAAATTGACAAATTATTCCGTTGAACTGCATCTCAAGCCTGATGCAAAGTTTGTAGCACAACCATGCAGACATGTTCCATAGTCTTCACAGCAAAGTAGAGGAAAAGCTGACAGAATTGGAGGATATGGACATCACTGAGAGAGTGGAAGGTCCAACGCCGTGTCAGCCCGATTGTCATCATTCCTAAACAAAATGGAGACATCAGGAAATGCGTGGATATGAGAATGGCCAATACAGCTATAGAGCATTCAAGACACCCTATACCAACAATCGATGATGTGCTGAGCGAACTCAGTGGCAACACTGTGTTCACTAAACTTAATCTTACCATGGGATTCCATCAACTGAAAGAAGGTATCTCAAGAGAAGTCACAACCTTCACAACTCATGCAGGCCTTTTTAGATATAAGCGCCTAATGTTTGGCATTTGCTCAGCGCCAGAATTGTATCAACATGTAATCGACCAAGTTCTTCATAGCACTAGATGTACTGGATGTCAAAACATATCTGATGATATTGTGGTATATGGCAAGGATGTAGCTGAACATGACAAACGGCTAAAAATGGTCCTACACACGTTAAAAGAGAGAGGTTTGACACTCAAAAAGAAGAAGTGTGTCTTCAGGATGAATGAGATTGAATTTATCGGACACTTGTTGTCGGTGAAAGGCATAGGCCCTATAGAGTCCCGAGTAAAAGCACTCCAAGAAGCAAGGAAACCAACAGACAGCTCAGAAGTGAGGAGTTTTCTGGGCTTGGTGAATTTCAGCGTACGATTTATCAGTGGCCTGGCAGCGAAAGCAGAGCCTTTGAGAGGGCTCACACAGAAGAATACATCCTTTGTGTGGGGAAAGGATTAAAGGAAAGCCTTTGAAGAATTGAAGAATAGCCGGATGTGGATACACTAGTGTACTTTAACCCTGTTTTGAAAACTAGAGTTGTTGCTAATGCCAGCCCAGTAGGGCTTGGTGCAGTGTTGTTGCAGGAACACGACAAAGTCTGGAGAACTGTCTGCTATGCAAACAAAACCCTGTCTAGCGTTGAACGAAGATACTCGCTGTTACGAAAAATTGTCTAAGTAAAGTCCCAGAACATTCTAATAGAACATTCTAAAACCTGAAGTCATCTAGACGTGACCTTCTGGTACAAAGAACATTCTTGAACGTTCTATTTCTTACGTACTTATTCAAATTTAGAAACCGTGTTAATCTACTAAATTTAGTTCTTTAGAGAAGTTTCTAGATCCTTATACTTTATGTATATAAGAGCGACAGTTTCATCAAACAGAGAGAGAGAGATTTGCGAAGAAGCTTAGTGCTATAAAAACAAGAAGTCAACTACGTGGAAATAAAACAATTTGTTGTTGTTACCGACGATCCTGAGTTTTGTCTAGGAACAACCCTGCTCTACATCGACACTCGTAACACTCGCAAACCGAAAGGTTTCATGTCTACCTCTTGGGTAGAGAGTTTGACCTTGTCACCGACCACAAGCCCTTGGAAATTATCTATTCACCTAAATCAAAGCCTAGTGCGCGTATTGAGAGATGGGTTCTTCAGTTACAACCATATCATTTTCATATCATCTATAAACCTGGTAAAGAGAACATCACTGACACCCTGTCAAGATTGCCACACACAGATGAGGGAAAGAACTTTGATGACACTGAGAATTATGTGAATTTTATAACCACGAAAACTGTTCCAAAAGCAATGAGTGCGAAAGAAATTGAAGAAGTGGCATTGAATGACAAAGAGATGGAGTGTTTGAGGCAAGCTGTCCAAACTGGGAGGTGGGAAGGAACTGAATGTTCAGAATAACTACATGTAGCCAATGAACTGTGTGTCGTGGGTGGTATACTTATGAGAGGAACCTGCATAGTGATCCCCAAAGGTCTTAGAACAACAGTATTAACCATTGGACATGAAGGACATTTAGGTGTAGTCAGCATGAAACCGCATCTTCGCACAAAAGTATGGTGGCCAAAGCTAGAAAAGGATGTGGAAAGGTTTTTCAAGACCTGTGAAGCATGTCAGTTGGTGGGCAGACCTGACCCTCCAGAGCCTGTGGCAAGTACAGAACTACCTCAAGGACCCTGGTGTGCTGTCACAATTGATTACCTGGGACTGTTACCCTCAGGTGAACACATACTTGTAGTTGTTGACTACTACAGCAGATATTACAAGGTGGCTGTTGTAAGGAAAATTACATCAGAGAAGACCATAGAGTGTTTAGAAACCATATTTGCCAGACATGGACTGCCTGAAGTGCTTGTAAGTGACAATGTGCCAAAACTTGTCTCGGAGAAATTCAAAGCGCTCCTAAAGGAAAATGGTATTAAGCATCAACGTGTAACAACTCGGTGGGCTCAAGAAAATGGCAAGGTAGAGAGACAGAATAGATCCATACTCAAAAGATTACAGTTGGCACATGCAGAAGGAAAGGACTGGAGAAGAGAACTGCTCAGGTATATGGCTGTTTACAGAACAACTCCTCACCAGACAACTGGACAGACACCAGCATTTCTTCTGATGGGCCAATACCCGAGAACAAAGTTACCTGAATTGTCACAACCAACCCACAGTGATGAGGAACCCAGAGACAGAGATCAACTGATGAAATTCAAGAGCAAACAGTATGCAGATGCTTCAAGAAATGCTAAGATGGGTGAGGTGAAACAAGGTGACCTTGTACTCATGAAACAGGATAAGAAGAACAAACTGTCCACCACATATGAACCTCAGCTGTACAAAGTGAAAGAAAAGAAAGGAAATCAGGTTGTTGTGTCTGAAAGCGACAATCCTGCAAGGGTTTTGCACCGAAACACAACTGAAGTCAAGCAGTACCACCCTACTGATGATCAGCTCAGTAATACGAAGGCTAATCAGGAGAAAAACACCCCTCCCGCTTCAGTCGAGATGGACACAGCAGTTGAATCAGGAAGTACTGATTTCCAGGAAGGTTCACCATGGCGTTATCCACAGAGGATTTGCAAACCACCTGACAGATTGAACTTATAAAGACATTGAACACTTTAAGAACTATTCACATGGACATAATGTTTGTTTATTTTGTACCAAGGACTCTATCAACGATTTTCTTTGTGACCGTTTAGTCTTACTCTTTGTTTATATTTCTAAGGAAGAAAGGGATGTAATGACGTAATCATTTTTATATATCACGTGACCTTGCAGGAGCACATGCTTTTGCAATACCGTGTACTCGACACAGTTCTTCTAATTAAATTCAATTCGAAGATGTTACACCTCCCCTCCCAAGCATTTGAGATCTAAACATTGCAATTGCTGCCTCCTGCGCCAAAACACTGGCAGAGCTTAGGCGGAAATGGGGCATTGAAAGTTTGAATTCATCGGCGCATTGGAGACCTGATGGAGTTTGTTTTCACGCTCAGGTCTTTTCTCGCACCCTCTAGGATGTGTGGATAAACAACCTTCCAACTGACGTTCCTATTTCTTTTCATGAACATGAAGAAGTGTGTTGTTGACTATGAGCAATTACCACATCAATCGGGAAAAACTTTTCTTCCCTTGCATTCCACAGAGCACATGTTGCTTGTTACTCCTCACGCAAATATGAATGAACACTCGCCTTGAAGAATGCAAAGAAAATTCATAACTGTGCTGATTATTACTAACTTGACCTGATACACCATTCTTCCCAGAATTTATATATTCTCAGAATATCCAGATTTCTCCCTCAATCCTGCGTCCACAGAAAAGACAATGGTCTAACCACCTTCTTTAACATTTCAACCTATCTTATACTCAGATCTCCCACAGTCAGAAAACAACCTTCAGTGTGATCTGAGTACAACATTACCTTTCCACATGCTTTACACGTAGCCCAGTAAACGCTAATAATTATTCTTGTTTCCAAATGGCAGACACATGTACGCATTGCGTACCTATTTTTATCTTAGGAGGAATAAAGATTGATTGATTGATTGATTGGTTGATGAAATCGCTGTTCTTTTTCCTGAAGGACATGAAGCAATCCAGATTACATATTAACCATGGGGAGTTTCGTTCAAGTAACAAGGTGCGATTTGTGTATGGATAATAAGTTGTTTATAATAAAAAGTGGAATTATGACATTATGATTTCAGTAAATCTTTTATTTCAAACTTTGTTATGATTTTTTTCTTTATCAAGACATGGAAGGAAACATTGATTGACTCGATTGCACTGCGGCAGTGATAAGTCTCTCCTCATCATATCTTATGCAAATTTACAAGCAGTTTTTAGACAGTTTTCAGATGATTCGAAATATCTTAGTTCCTGTCACAAGGAAATGATAACTGCCTGAATCTGCTCCTTGTAATGAGATGCCTATGTCATTCAAATTGCTATTGTTGTAACTGGGTTTTACACGTAGTAGTGCCACTGACAAGTTACGATTTATACTCTCAGGTTCTCAGTGTTTATGAGCATTCAATCGAGGTTTTCCTTATTTTCTGGTTTTTACTTCAGAAAGCAGAAATCTGCCGACATATATGAAAAATATCCATTTCTCGTCTCCTTTGGAGTGACCAATGGAAACTTCACAGAGAAATACAGCGTCACGCCATTGAGATAATGTACATGTTTAAAACAAATGACCAGTGTGAGAATAGTTTCATGTAGATCAGCCAACTTCTACAGTGTAGCATCAGAGGATTTTGGATTGCTCAAATTCCCATGAAAGAAGGTGCAGCACTCGGAATCTGAATGATATGCACACGATTTGAGGAACATGTTTGCAGTTATGTTGAGTTGTCCTCTATGAAGGTTAATCGGTTTTTTTTAAAGATGACCACCAGAGGCGAGATTTCTCTTTGGGATATTGCTCATAAGATAACATTCTTCCAAAGCCTCACACGTTCCATTTTTCTGAAACGTTTGTTGTTGAGAACATTATATGTAAACATTGTCAAATTATGATTTTATCTGGTATTGAGCTTTTTTCACAAATTGCCCCTGTGGAAAGAAGAGACAGGCCTGCAGAGACTTTTACCTATTTAAAAACTAGATTATAACCAGCTGGGTGGGTAGTTTCAGTTCCAGAATCAGTTTACTTTTGGAGAAATTCAGATAAACGTTTCCCTGTTTTACCGACAACAAAAAGAGCCAAAACTGTACCGAGATAAGTAATCTTCTGATGTGTTCTCATTTGCTCCCAGGGAAAGTTGAATGTATCGAAGTGAAGGTGATTGATTTCACTATGTATGGTAGAAGTGCCAATTTGTAATGTTGTATTTCATTTGAGATAGAGAAATAAGCATTTCACTATTTTTTTGCGACATTTTGTATGAAAATGAGGCCCCAAGCCTCGAGCAAGCAGCCATTGTTACCATGGCAACGAGAGTGCTGCAACCTTTAAAAAGGGCATTTTTGTGCATCCCCCTTGAGTGCCTAACTGCATGCAAAATTTGAAGGGAGATTGAAATTTTCATTTCCCAAGATGTTTGATTCTTAGAGAGACTTGTTCTTAAAGAGTGTAATTTTAATCCACAATTCAATAAAATGTTTTAAATAGGAAGACTACATTGATACTTTGATACCTCTCAGACGAGCAAGCAGAGCAACCGCACCCGGAAAAACCGGAATTACCCCCTGAAGAAAAAAGATCACAATGATCAGAAGTAATGACTACTGGCATTATCAACCAACTTGATTCACCTCAGGTAAGGGACAATTTTGAATCATTTTTGCCCATATTACTGGAATACTTCAGCGAAAAAATGCTTTCCTTTAAGGCTGGTAATTTAGCAGCCCATTTTTCATAATGGCAGTTTTTTAACCTCAGACCCTGAAATTATCGAGACTGTATCAGGTTGCAAAATTGAATTTGATACAATTCCAAGCCTTAATAAGGCTATGGTCCATGCAGTGCTCTCAGAGACTCAAACAGAATCTGTTGACACTGAAGTCTCTAATCTGTTGCGTAAACAAGCAATTAAAGCCTGTGACCATGAGGCAGGGGAATACATCTCCCCCATCTCCACCCAGCCTAAGAAATATGGATCACAAAGAATGATATTGAACCTAAAGTCCCTCAACAAAAATATTACTCACCATCATTTCAAGATGGATACAGTGTTATCTGCTGTTCAAATAATGAAACCTGGGTGCTTTATGGCGTCAAATGATCTTAAAGATGCCTATTATTCAGTATCAATACATTCTGATTTCCAAAAGTACCTAAAATTCAGCTGGAGAGGCCAGTTGTACGAGTTTGTTTGTTTCTCCAATGGACTAACACCATGCCCTGGGCAATTCACGAAATTGTTAAAGCCAGTTTTCTCCAGCCTCAGAAAACTTGGGCACATCTCTGTTGTATATATAGATGACACCTGGCTTACATCCAAAGACTATAACTCCTTTGTCAATAACATTGCAGAGACCATTACCTTATTGGATAGACTAGGATTTGTAATATACCCTGAAAAGTCTATCTTGATTCCTACACAAGAAATTACTTTCTTGGGATTTATCTTTAACTCAGCCAATATGACAGTCAAACTGACTCCTGAAAGGGCCCTGAGATTAAAAACTGCCCGTCTGGAAAATTTGGAGGCCACCACACCCCTTATTAGGGATGTGGCCCTGCTATCAGGGCTTATGACCTCCAGCTTTCCTGGAGTAATGTATGGAGCCCTACATTATAGGGCCCTTGAGATGGAAAAAACTTGTGCCTTGAAACAAAATAAAGGAAATTTTGATAGGCTCATGACTTTGTTTAGTGAAGCAAAACCAGACATTCAGTGGTGGATTGACTCCATTTCCAAGGCATACAATCATGTAAACCATGGAGACCCTGACATCATCATGACCACTGATGCCTCCTTGTCAGAATGGGGTGCATGTCTTGATGGCATGACAACAGGGGGAAGGTGGAACCCAGATGAGGCCACCCATGATATCAATTACTTGGAGATGCTTGCTGTCCTATTTGCTCTGCAGTCCTTTTCTAACAAGGTGTCAGCAAAACACATTAAGCTTATGGTTGATAATACCATTGCTGTGGCAACCATAAACCAAATGGGCACTTGTCACTCCAACCTGAACAATAAAATGGTACAACAAATATGGGAATGGTGTATTTTACATGGGGTCTGGCAAACTGTTGCCCATATACCAGGCAAATCTAACACAGAAGCAAATAGGGAATCAAGATTATCTAGGAAGGAAACAGAGCGGTGCCTCGACAGATCTATTTACAGTGCTTTCATACAAAAGCTGGACGTAATACCAGATATCGATCTGTTTGCTTCCAGACTGAACCACCAGCTTAAACCCTACATTGCTTACAGACCTGACCCTGGGGCTTTAGCAGTCAATGCTTTTCATATCTCTTTGAAGGAATACACTTTCTATGCATCTCCACCATTTTGCATTATACAAAGAGTTCTGGGATAATCATAGTTCCTAACTGGCCAACCCAAACCTGGTGGCCATATCTCATGTCCATGCTAATTGCGGGCGACCAGCGGAGCCCGCAATCCTAATCTCAACATTGGTTACAAACGCATGCGCGGTAGTTATATAGCCTTGCAGTGACTCGAATTTAGCAAAAAAAGTCGTCCTTCCAAATATTTGTCCCTAGGGACACTAAGAACCAATGAAATGAAAGGACGTAATTTGAGCACAGGCGCTCTGACCGCTAGAAACCAACACCAAGCAAAAGACAATTCTCACCAAAGCATAGCTGTTTCACGTTCCATAGTCAATGATCTTTAATGTAGTTGAAGGGCTCAAATAATATTTAAATTTCGCCTTCTTGAAGCTAAGAATGTCAAGAATCACGTGCAGTTCATGCAGAAGTGGCGGTCCATAAATTGGAATGCATACAACACAATTTTATCACGTGGACGACGTCTATTTCGTCGAAGAATCACGTGCAGCTCATGCATAGCTGGCGCGCTGTCCAATCAAAATCGAGCTTGTGAACTTGTGATCGGAACGTTTCCTGTTCGTGTCTGTTGTTGTCGGGTATCGAAATTTTCCGGCCATTGCGAGAGATCTGTGTTCCTCGTTGGCGTTGTTGAACTGTAGAGTGAGAGCTGTGCGTCCATTGACCTTGGCGTTGATCCATTGAAGACTTGAACTGTAGAGCGAGAGCTGTGCGTCCATTGACCTTGGCGTTGATCCATTGAAGATTTGAACTGTAGAGCGATCGAGAGCTGTGCGTCCATTGACCTTAGAGCGAAACCTTGTCCTATATCTGCAGGTTAGTAAGGTAATTTACCTATTAAGTTTATTTTGAGGTATACAATAACATTTTATGGCTGCTTTTACGTACATAAAGGAAAGCCTTTGATTTTTTCGTCGAGCGTGTTTGCATTTTCACACCAGCTGTCACCCACTTCGGTTTGTTTATAAAATATCGGCACAGTTTTGCCACAATTATACCATTGAACCACTTTGTTCACCACGAGACAAGTCAATTTTATTGTAACAAGTCAAGCTTAAAACACAGAGCTATCACGGTGAAATCACGGCAAATACAATGTGACCCATCACGATCTGTCACGTGCGAGCGTTCAGTTTCTTTAAGCAGTCAAGCCATAACAATCTAAGTACAGATCTTTCATTGAAACTAGTGTACGTGGTTCCGTTACCTTATGTCTTCATTTAGCTGTTCAAACACGTTAGGAAAAATGCGTGGTCGTTCTGCCAAATCGGTTCGATGTTATAAAAGAGACAGGGAACCATCAAGGATACCTAAACAAAAATTGTTTCACCTTCTAAAACACAGGCAGAAGAGAAAACAAATAAAACTTGTTCTCAAAACCAAAATTCCTAGGTCGTCAGCTTTTTATTACTTTTACAAAACATTTAAAACTTGGTCTTCAAGACACTGCTTTGAAAGCTGTTTTTCTTGTTACTACTTTCGCTCAAAGCTAAATATTTCGAAAAAGGTGACAGCTGGTAACCGAACTTTTCAAACCTCTATGTGTGATAATTCAAAGCCATTATTGAAAAAATTTGTACGGCTTAAGCTTTTACCATCGCTTTCTGGTGGCATGAATACATACAATGCACATTCATCTCAAATGGGTACAAGGGCAAGTACTGAAAGCAGTTCTTATGACCGATTGGTTAATAGATTATGCGACAAAGGTTTGCAGGCATTGGATGTTGGTGGTTCTGGTGACTGCTTTTTCAAAGCAATTTCACATCAGTATTATGGTACTCCAGACCATCATATTGCTGTAAGGCATGCTGGTGTAAGCTATTTAGAACAACACCCTGATTTTTTTTATCGAGAGTGTGTCTGAGAATTCATGGAAAAGTTATTTGCAAAGAGTGGTCACACCAGGCACATGGTGTAACAACATTATCATACAAGCAGTAGCAAATCAACTTAATTGTGTCATTCATATCATTGAGTCCAGGCTTTCGTGCACACAAGGCTCTACAATTACGCCATCCACTACAGATCAAAATGCAAAAGTATTGTTTGTTGGTTACATAGAAGACTTACATTATGTTTCTACAATACCTCATAGTAATACTACTAATAAGAATGCCTTAAAGTATCTAAAATCCAAATTATTACAATCTGATGAGAAAATTAAGAAGAGAAACCTAGACAGGCGAGATGCTTGGCAGAGAAAAAGGAAACAAGAGCAAACTACAAGGAATATTGCAAAAAAAGTGAAAAAGACATGTGATAAGAAACAGTACTTATTAACTTTTGATGCAGAAAAACATGGAGATATTCACAAACAAGACTGGGCAAAACAAAACATAACTAAATTCCATAATTCCAATAATTATAACATTTACCAATGCAAAGTTTGTTTTGAAGCCTGGCCATTAAGAGTGACACCAAAATGTCCACAAAATTATACATGTTCGAGGTGCTCAAGAGAAAAAGAGTCACCAAAAAAATTCTCCAAGGAAAACTTTATGATACCCTCAGCAGTACCCACACAACTTTCTGGTTTAACGCAGGTGGAAGAAATGTTAATTGCTAAAGCTCTTCCTATAATGCATATTTATATCAAACCAGGAGGACAAAGAGGATATTCTGGACATACAATAAATCTACCTCAAAATGTCAGTGAATTGGCTCAATCACTTCCAAGATACCCTAAAGATTTATCAATAATTATTGTTAGAGCTAAAGGAAAGGGAAATTTTGTTAAAAACCTTTCAGTAAGAAGGCAAGTGGTATCAGATGCAATTCACAGGCTCATTAAAAATAATCCACATTATTCAGACATTGAATTAAATTATAACGCATTACTTTACCAGAAAATGATGTTCCCAGCGAACTTCTTTCAATAGAAACAGATGACACTACAACAGATGATAATAAAACTCCCCTCCCAGATTTTGGTCCTGTTGCTAGTGAAGAAGATATTGTTTATGACAGTAATACAGATTCTTCAAGTTTTCTACCTGTAAATGACACCCACCAACAAGAAATTGATTTCATTCGTAACAATCTTTACCAGGGACAAATAAACGGGCCGACTTTAGGTAATAGCCCATTAAATGAGTATGTCACTCCATATTTAGCCACAATGGCATTTCCAACATTGTTTCCTGATGGTAAAGGAGATCCAACAAATCCTGCAATTTTAAAAAATGCAACTCTGAAAGAAAAGGTTAAACATCTAATAAAATTTGAAGAGAAAAAAGACAGTAAATGGATTTATCGTTTTGCAAATCATCCTAGATTTTCATACTGGGCTTTAAACATGATTCAGCGTAAACAAATTTTACAACAAACTGGAATTTTTTTTTAAAACAAAATCCTGGAGAACAACATTTAACTATGGAAGAACTGAGAGAAATGGTCAACAATAATAATACAAACCTTTTTCTGAACAAGCTGTCCCATTACGTCACTAACATAACTGGATCAGATGCTTATTGGTACAAAGCAAAAGAGGATTTAAAAGCGATCATTCAGCATGCTGGACCACCAACATTCTTTTTCACATTTTCAGCAGCAGATATGCATTGTCCAGAATTGCATTTTCTTTTTGGAAATGAAAGAGATGAAGGGATTACAGGTAGCTTATCTGAAATAAGACGTAACAATGTTATTAACAATCCCCATATTGTTGATTGGTTTTTTACTGAACGCTTGAAAAAGTTTATTAAACACTGGCTATATGATTCACTTGATGCAAAATGGCACTGGTATAGATTTGAGTATCAATCTAGAGGAAGCATTCATTGCCATGGTGTTGCTAAACTGAACAATGATCCAGGCCTGTGCAAGTAGAGTGAAACTGCACTTAATGGTTATTTGGCAGAGAATAGTAAAGATAATGCTACCAGTACAATAGTAAATGAGGGTAAAATGGCTACCAAAAAGATCTGTCAATATGTTGATTGGCTCTTGTCTACATGTAACCCAAATCCTCCAGATAATGGTCTGTGGATAAAGCCTTCTATTCATCCATGTCAGGAATACCATAAAAATATCAAAGATTCTGACAATGACTATATTGATCTGTTGAATATGGTTCAAAGACACACTCGTTGTAGTACAAGTTGTTGTTTAAGGAAAAAGCACAATGAAACAGAACCAAAATGTAGATTTAACTTTCCATTTGAAACCTGTACAAAAACGTCATTGCATTTTGAGCTTATTCATTCAAAAGACAACACATCAAAATACAAAGTTCAAGTAACTACAAAAAGGAATGATTCCAGAGTAAACAACCACCAGCGCTTTCAACTCCAAGGCTGGAGGGCAAATTGTGATATTCAAATTGTTATAGACTACCATGCATGTGTGGAGTACTTAGCAAAATATGCAGAAAAAAGTGAAACCAAATCACATCTCCTTAAGCAAGCATTTAGTACCATTGTGCATAACTCTCAAGTGAATACCAATGCTTCATCCATAATTAAGAAAACTGTTATGAAAACACTTGGCCAAAGAGATTTTTCTGCACAAGAGACAATGCACCATTTACTGTCCTTAAACCTTCTAATCTAAGCTCATCCTTTAATGTAGTTCCTATAACCTTAAATGGTTCACGCAGACTTAATATCACAACACAGCCTGATGATAGAGCAACAACAGACAGTTTGCTTGATGCCTACGCTGAACGTGACAAATATCGAGGCACTGTAGCATGTGACTTATGTAATTTAAATTTTCTCCAATTTGCAATGAAATATCGTCTTGTCAATGGAAAATTAGTAGATCAACCAGATAATGTAGTACCAAGAGTTTATCCCACATACTCATCAAATCCCAAAAGTACAAATTTTGGTTTATACTGTAAATACCAATTGCTAAGATATAAGCCTTGGAAAAACAAACAGGAAGATGCATGGGGAAACCAAGAACATAATAATGACGTGTTTACTTCACAGTGGAAAAGTTTTTTGCAAACAGACTATGCAAAACAACATGTGCCTGATTGGCATGGAAAACTGGAAGA